TCTTCCCATGTCGTCCTACACTCCTACCGTGATATAGCCAAAATGCATGTCCTATCTAATGACATTAGGTAATTGAACCTTTCTTTTTTTAGTATATAAACAAAATCTAAAAAATAGAAGAAAAATGATCACAAGAATTAGAACTTCATCTTCCGGGCCTCAATCCCTTAAGCATCTTAAAAACAGAAGACAACTCATGCTTTTCCGCAGGTGTTCTAGCGTAACCTGTTTCCGATCACAGATTTATGTAGTGTTTGATTGCAATGAAAGAATTAGGTGGGAAAAGAATTACAATTCTATGGGAGAGATCAGACTAATGTAGGAATAGAGTAAGAATTTAAATTTCAATATTTGGTTTACAATAATAGAATTACGAAATTTCAATTTCAATTCCGTGTTTGATATCCATAGGAATTGAAAGAGAATAAGTAGTATAGACCAAAATGTCTATACTTATTATTATTATTATTATTATTATTATTATTATTATTATTATTATTATTATTATTATTAAATAATAAGTAAATTTGTGTCAAAACTATAATGCAATGCAATTGTTATTTGGACACATCGGATATACTTGTGTCACTATAATATATTTAATATTTAATAGCTCCCAAAATTTACTTACAACGTTAAAGTTCATAATCTCACATCCAAAAAACTTCTTAAAAATAAAAGTAAAAAAGAAAACGGATGCGCATGAGTTTTCTTGCTCGTTGCTTGTTCTTTCGCGTCAGCCCTTGCACGAGATTAAACAACTGAAGCTACTGGTAGTCCCGAGGAGGCGGTATAAAGGTTTCGATTCGAGCGAGAGCCCAAATGGTTGGTTATGTCTCATGTTATTTTTCGTTATGATGAGGATAATGAATATTTTTTTCAATTCGGGTCCATAACAATAATGAGTTCCACTACAGCGAAGGAAAGGGCTTTCGCAACCCTTTGGTCTCACGTGTTTGTTTTCACTTCCTCACAACTTAGTTAACATAATAAAATGCTAAGATTTTTAAATGCTCAAGGATATCTTTATTTTTATTCCCAACCGATGTGAAATTGAAATACCAAGGGGGCCCTGAATTCTAACTCTATGAAAATGAGGAAATTACCCGCATGGGTAGCTCAACTGATCATAGAGATGAAAGTTTGGAAGAATGAATATGAGGAAATTGCAATTCCCTCCAACCAAACGAAGGAATTTGCTTTCCTTCGAAATTATATGGGAATTAGGTATGAGTGGAATTCTAATTCCCTCAAACCAAACGAGCTGTTAATCCAAATTAGCCAAGTTAATTAGTGTAAAAGTTCAACCTAGGGAAATGAAAAGCATGTATTGGAATTTATCTAGTGCACGCTTTTAAGTAATAGTACGATTGTGGGTTCTCTCGTCACTCAAAAGCAAGTATCTATAAATATTGTGGCCAATCACACTAGCATAATTAGTTGTCAAGATAGACTGAACGGCGGGATAATCCCAACTGAGTTGGTTGTGTTGGATTGATAATCCTAAAGTTTTAAGTTTAACTCTTTATGGAAGCGGCCAATTGACTTTCTTAATTTAAACGCGAACTTTTCTTGTACAAATGAATCTGTACACGTCTGATCTTTATTTCCACACTTTGTTTTAGTTTTATCATAAATTTAGTTGTAATTACTTCTACTAGTTGTAATTTAGTTGTAATTACTTCTTACTAAAACGCATAATTTAAAAGTAAACTAGATAATTCTCACATTTGTATGTAGAGTACTATCTAACATAAGTTCGAAACATGAACATCTATAAAGTATGATTGAAACCCAAATCCTCTTGAAGCTAGCTTTTAACCATAAAACTTCAATTAGCACTATTTGCCCTTTCTGGCTCAAGAAAGATATGAAAGCAAACAAATTAAATCTGAAAATATTTTTAAAAGGTATTTAACTTTTGGTTTGGTGCTTGATTAGATCAATTGTTATACCATATACCAAGGTTTATATTGCATTATGAACTCTGATTTAAAAATTATGTCTGCAGTTAACATTTTTATACATATAAACAAATTGAAGACACATTACACGATAATTACAGACACATAACATGATAACTACATACACATAATCTGTTAAAATGTTTCTCAATATTTTAAATTTTAAAAAATATTTTAAATTTGGGATGACCTATTAGAAATTTGAAAAACCTGCAAATTGGACTAATTGCATGAAATGAGATGAGTTAGTTTAAGGGTTCAATTATAATTTTTGAACCTAATTGCATTATCATGTGGCCCTCACTGCCGTTGGTGAAAATCGATCCCTGGTCATTCTTCCAAAGTTTCACCTCTGTGACCAGTTAAGCTGCCCATGCGGGTCCCTAATAGTTTTAATTAGTTTCATATGTCGTTGTTTAACAGTAATTTTTTAAAAATTAATTAGTGTTTTACAACAATATGGATTATAATATAGATAACAGTGATTATGTTATTCTTTCCAACACGTGTCACGTGAGACGGTCTCACACAACATCAACTTCTAATAAGTTAGTTTGTAATTATTTAAAAGAAAAAAAAATAGCAACAACAACTACTACCATGGATGTACTTGTCTTAGCTTCCATAACCGTGGACAAGGACAAAGGTCATCATCCTTAACAACACGTACACAATCAAGGATGATGATGAAGGTTGAGTCTCCACAACCATGGAAGAAGACCTTCATTCTCTATCGCAACCATTCATGAAGATAGCAAATTTGGGAGGGGAGTAAAAGTCCTCGTCTTCTAAATCTTCGTCTAAGATAAAAAGGTTGCTAAAAAATTAAAGACTTGCTAAAAAATCAGTCTTGTTTGAACATTATTGCTCTCTATTGTTGAATGTAGTAAAGAGAGGATGATGACAAAGGAAGAAAAATACAATTAAACACGTTAGCGCCACATTAGACATGAGTTTTAATTTCATGTAAGGCACCATATCAACAAATATCAAAGACAACAATATCTTAACTTACAGAAAGTGCTAATTACTTCTTCTTATATCATCTATTTGAATTTTTTTTGTATGCTACTAGGCTGAAACACAAAGAACAAATAACACCTCCATTGAAGCTCGAACTCACAACCTTTAAAATGGGAGTCCAACTCGAGTACCATTAGACCACATAATCTTGTTTTTTTTAGTTAATAATGTAATTTAAATTTAAAAAAAAAATGAGAACTTATTTCGTCCAAACCTTTTTACATTGAAGATGTAAAAAGAAAATGCTTTGTTCCCTTCTTAAAATCAATCAATTATCATATTGTGAACATGATCTATATTGTAAGGTAGATCCTGACGTAAAATTTGCAATGTTAATTTTCAAAGCACTAAATGTTCATTTTTAGGTATACTACTTAAAAATTAATCTTCAATATAATAAAAATGAAGATTCAGTATACTAAAAATGAACATTTATCAATGATCTATCTTGCAAAGTTGACTATGACCCACAATATAACTTGCTAAATTTAATATCATGAATTAGCTAATCTCATTAACTTGTTAGAGCAACTTCATTTGTTTGATTTTTTTCTTTGATTTTTGCAGGTACACGTAGGAAAGGGAGGAGGGAGAGAAGAGAGAAAATGAGGGGAAAAAAAACTTAATAGCAAAAGTTTATTTATTTTTAAAAAATGTCATTTATGCGCCCAGCTGGCGTGTACAGTGCACACGTCTATTGGGCGTGGTAGTTGTTACACACGCTTGATTTGCGGACTAACTTTTCCCCAAGACAAAAAACTATCACTTGCAGGAAAAAAACAAAACAAAACATCTAAAAAATCATGCTTCCCATTTGTTTAAAAACAAACCCATGAGATTTTTTTTTTTTCTTTTCTGCAAAAATCCTTAAAAAAACTACAATTGTGATTGCTCTTATTAAATACTCCGTACTAAACTGTCCAATAAAAGATGTCATGTCATGCGGAGAGATTAAGAATGAAAATTTTTGGAGGTGGATACCATTACTCGATGTAAAAAAAGTACAGTACTCTCTCTGTCACATTTTACATGTCATGTTTATTATTTATTATTTAAACAATTTTTTTTTCTTTGTTTATTTTCTTTAGTATCTTTTAATAATTTTAAAATTTAATTTTTTTTTTGTGTTTAATAGTATTTTTAATGTAATTTCTAAATATGTAAATTTTATATATTAATATTAAATTTAATATTGGAATAAGGGTCAAATAGGCCATCGAACTGCACATGATAATGCAATTAGGCCACTGAACCTAAAAAACAACAATTGAGTCCCTAAACTAACTAATTGCAAACCATTCTTCCCATTTGAAAGTTTCCAACAGGTCATCCTCCCAAATTAATTATTTTTAAAAAAATAAATTTTAAAAATTAATATTTATATTAAAAAAAGAAAAAGAAAAAGAGGACTCCGGCCGGAGACGAAGAAACTCTTCGTCTCCGGCTATTTGAAGAAACCTTCTTCGTCGCCGGCCATGGAGACGAAGAAACTGGCCGGAGATTCTTCGTCTCTGGCTAGAGTCCTTTTTTTTAAAATTTAAATAATTAATTTTTAAAATTTATTTTTTAAAAAATAATTAATTTTGAAGGATGACATGTTGGAAACTTTCAAATTGGAAGAATTATTTGAAATTGGTTAGTTTAGGGACCCCATTGTTAGTTTTTTAGGTTCAGTTGTCTAATTACATTATCATGTACAGTTCGATGACTTATTTGACCCTTATTCCTTTAATATTATACAAATTTAAATTTAAATTAACTTCAAGTCTCGTTAATTGAACAGATATGTAAAATGTGACGGATGGAGTAACTATCAATAATTGTTTTAAATTATATTACATATATATAATATTTAAAAAAAATGGAAAAAAGAGGAAAGACTTTACTCATGGGCAAAACAGTCATATAGAATAGAGACAGTGTATCTCTATCACGCTTGAAAATGACACGTTATTAAGAAATCTATCCACTGTGTGTGTGTGAAAATATTAAAATCAAATCAACAACTTTGATTTTTGAATACTTTGACGTTGTTAACCAAACGGCTGAGCCCAGAAGAAGACGACGGACGGAGGCGCTGCTTTGCTCGCATAACAGCCTTTCGCGCTTTGGGATTTGCACAATTGCACTTTCCCCTGATTTCCATTTCTGGGTTCAATTTTAAAGATAAAGAATCCAATCGCTATTCCAAAAGCCATATACAAAGTTTCAGTTGTAACTCGTAAGTTGTTCCCTCGCCTCTTCTTCAACTCCACTTTTGACTCTCTCTCTCTCTCTCTCTCTCTCTCTCTTCATTTAAGGTACCCTCTGCGAGTCTGTTCTCCCTCTCTCTCTGACTTTCTTCTTGTAATGACGTCCTATATACGTATAATAGCACATGTGCTCTTTGTATCACTGTATTTGTGTACGGATTTTCCGGTTTCTTAGTATTGATATGTGGAAGAGGGTGAAATTACTTCATAATGTACAAATATGTGATCTTTTTTTCTGGGGTTTATGACTTTGTTTAATAAATTCTTACTTTGCGCTGTTTTTTATGTGAGCAAGTTGAAGTCAACTGCCGGGAAAAGGAAGCCAGGCCAGTTTAGAAGTATTGTTGAGTGAAAACTGCAATATTGTGAATTTTAAAATTATAGACAGCTCAGCAAACGCTGCAAATTTGAAAATTGGCTCTGTAAAAGATTTTTCTTTGGGGATAAGAAATGGGTTTTTGTTGAGTAGAAGGTAAGAAGAAGCTAAGGTTGAAGTTTCTGTTTTTATTTTACATTTTTTTTTTTGTTTCCTGTAATATGGATTTTGTGGGGTGTGATAGATTATCTGGATTCTGGATAGCTGTGAAATCCAAGGCTTAGTTGAGTTGTCGGTCAAATGGAACATTGGATAAAATCTCAAATTCTATAATGCTGATCCCTTTTTTATGTAATTTGTTCTGGGTTTTTTTTCTTATAAGTTATAACATTGATCTTTTCTCCAGGAGTTGATTCTATGAAATACTTGTATCCTCTGTATGTGTGTGTGTGTTATGCAGCTCCCCAATCTCAAAAGTTTAAGCTTCCTTTGGATCTGAAGGAGGGCTTATCATATATTTCTTTCCTTTCTGTGCTGCAGGCCAAAAAGGGGAAGTTAAGGAAGTCTCTTTGCTATTTTACAATGAAAGTGACCTTTTGCTTATGAGAGCATCTCAATCACTTTCTATACATCACAACAATTTGAGACTTTTTGGCATTATGCATGTCTGGTCCTGTGGTCATTGCTGATCGTGTTGGAAGAGCGTTTTCGCTGTCAGATAGGACGCAATCTGTTGATGCTCTATTGCTTAATGACAATCACTTCAACAGCTTAACAAATGGGGAAGTTTCTCTTTCGGATGATTCCAGTGGGTTTAGAGTTGGAGAGCTCTTGCTACGAAATGGGGAATGTTATTCTGGGTCCCTGCTGGGCAATATACCCGAGGGCTCAGGCCAGTATATCTGGGCTGATGGTTGTAGGTACGAGGGTGAGTGGAGACATGGGATGAGGCACGGTTATGGGACACTTAGATGGCCTTCTGGTGCTGTTTACGAGGGTGAATTTTCAGGTGGGTATATGCATGGTACAGGGACGTATACTACTTCTAATAAAATGACCTACAAAGGCCGTTGGAAGCTGAACCTCAAACACGGTTTAGGATCCCAAATATACCCCAATGGTGATGTATTTGAAGGATCTTGGATCCAGGGTACTGCAGAAGGACCTGGTAAGTACGCTTGGGCTAATGGGAATGTGTATTTTGGGAATATGAAAGGAGGGAGGATGTCTGGGAAAGGAACTCTCACTTGGCTCAATGGAGACACGTATGAAGGAAGTTGGTTAAACGGTATGATGCATGGTTTTGGTATATACACATGGTGCGATGGTGGCTGTTATATTGGAACTTGGACCCGTGGTCTAAAGGATGGAAAAGGGGCATTTTATCCAAGAGGCAGCAGACTTCCTGCTGGGCAGGAATTGTACCTTAATGCACTGCGAAAAAGAGGGTTGCTACCGGATTTAAGAAAACATAAACAGGTTTCGCATATGCATCATGCCGTTTCAGTTGATATGGGGAATGTTAAAGTGATCGGAGACCAAGGGGCTCGCAAGGATTCACCTGATAAGCTCTCGAAAGGAAACCTTTTAAATCTAGAGCAGTCTCGGACCACGAATGTTGCTCTAGAAAGACGGTGGAGTCTTGAAGTAGCCATTGAGAAAGTTATTGGACGTGATTTTGAGTCTGAAGTTACTGATGATGATTTCAACACTCCAATCTTGGAAAGAGAATACATGCAAGGTGTCCTAATCAGTGAAGTCGTTCTAAGTGATCGTTTCTCACCTCCATCTAGGAGAGCAAAAAGGCGTCAAAGAAAACTTGCCAGGGAGATGAAGAGACCAGGTGAGACAATTATCAAAGGTCACCGGAGTTATGATTTAATGCTGAGTTTGCAGCTCGGGATCAGGTAAAGAAACTTAGTAACTACATGCACTCAAGTCTATATCATCTTACCGCCAGCTTGATAAAATTTCTTAGTAGCTTTGTTGTAAATAAATAAAGTATTAACATGATTATTAAATATGAGTAGATATACTGTGGGAAAAATCACCCCCATACAAAGGCGAGAAGTACGGGCTTCAGATTTTGGTCCTCGTGCAAGTTTTTGGATGTACTTTCCTAAAGTGGGGTCGCAGCTGACACCTCCACACCAGTCGGAGGATTTCAAGTGGAAAGATTATTGTCCAATGGTATTCAGGTTGGTCTTGTCTTACTTTTCTCTGAGATGCTTTTGTGGAATTTCTCAAAGGTTTCAAAGTGTTTTTTAATTATTTCTATAGGAACCTGAGGGAGATGTTTAAGATAGATGCTGCCGACTACATGATGTCCATTTGTGGAAACGATGCACTTAGAGAACTTTCTTCCCCTGGAAAAAGCGGTAGTGTTTTCTTTCTGTCCCAAGATGATCGCTTCATGATTAAGACATTGCGAAAATCAGAAGTTAAGGTTCGTCTTCTTGACTTGAAGTTCATCTTTTGACATAAATCTGAATAAGTAAATTCTGCTTTGAATACTCCTGGTTTGGATCTTAGCCATGCTTTGCATGTGCCAAATATAAATTCTGGGGCTTTTGTTTAGGGAAAAGGGTCAAATATATCCTCCTACTATTAAGTAAAGTACAATTGGACACTCCAACTAGAAAAGCTTCCATTAAAGTCATTCAACTTCAAATTTCTTGCATATGAATTATGATACATATTTAAGCTGTTATAGACTATAGTGCAATTCACGCTTAAGATTTAATTGGAAGTTGAGTGTGCTGTATTCTATTAACCTATGATTCCACGTCCACCTGTAGGTTTTGCTCCGCATGCTTCCAAACTATCATCTACATGTGCGAACTTATGAGAACACATTGATTACCAAATTTTTCGGTCTTCACAGGATAAAGCCTTCAAGTGGACAAAAGGTATCGTTTCCATTACATTGTTGATTGCAAGTTTATTGGGCTGAGGTACATATAGTTTGTTAGTGATGCTATTATGGGTGACAATTTGATGCTCAGTCTACTTGCTCCTGCCCAACCATATATTTATCATAATTATCAAAACATTGGACTAGCCTTCAATGAATTAAAACTGGAGTTAATATTTTTAAGCAATAAATGTTCCAGTTCTCTCTCTCACAATGCTAAAATTCAAGAATATACAAACCATTGTTGTTCCCAAAGGTTGAATCCCCAACCCCAAGGGCCCCCCACGCCCCGACCTGACAGAGCATATGTAAGGATGTAAATCATGGTAACTCAGCTGAACACAGAGACTAGACCTTTGCTTACAGCGACAAGGAGCCCCCCTCACTTTGAGAGGTTGCTCTTACTGCTGCTGGTGAGATTCAATCCCGGGTCATTGTTCTCAAACTTCACCCCTGTGACCAATTGAGCTGCCCATGCGGGCTAGAATATACAAACCAAATATTATGGCTTGGGGTTTTTTTCTGGTTCTTTTTTCCTTTTGGCTACTACCATATCTTTTCCTGCTATATATTTGTTTTATCACTTAATGATAAGTCCGTTTTATGTTCCTATAAAGGAGAGATTACTCAAACCCTTATTCACACAAGACTACAAGATGCTAATAAAATTTTCTTTGTTAATTTACAGTTCCGCTTTGTAGTAATGGGAAATATGTTCTGCACAGAACTGAGAATCCATCGACGATTCGATTTAAAAGGTTCTTCACTAGGGCGTTCAGCAGATAAGGTTGAAATTGATGAAAATACAATACTTAAAGATCTAGATTTGAACTACTGTTTTTATCTGGAGCCTACATGGCAAGAGGCCCTGCTAAAGTAAGTGTATCTCATACTATCTCTTATTTCAACTAGAAGCCTTTTCTATGTTTCAATTGACCTATTTCAGAATTATTGTTTGCTTGTCATTTTATTGAAAATTAATTTCTAACTCTCGGTTATACTTAATGCGATGGAAACTGTGCAGGCAAATTGAAATCGATAGCAAATTTTTGGAAGCACAGCACATTATGGATTACAGCCTCCTGTTAGGTGTTCACTACCGAGCTCCTCAAAACCTACGATCTCTCGCATCACACAGTAGACGAATAACAGCAGATGGATTAGAAATTGTTGCAGAAGATGGTACGTTCGTATCAAAGACTATTAATATGGATTCAGACTTGACTTTGCTTAGTATAGAATTTTTTGTTTGAGCTGTTTATTTTCCAACTACATTAACCCTGTGATATGGGCAGTTAGGCGAGTTTTTCGCACTTTTGGTCCCACGACTATAGTGGCACTATCAGGATTGATCCACGACTTTCAAACCTTGTAATCTCGGTCCACGACTATTTTTTTTTTTTTTTCTTGCAAAAGTGGTCCTTCCGGCCCACTTATGACGGAAATGGTTCTTACTCCGGTGAGAAATTGACAGAAAATGGGCCGGAAGGACCATTTTTTGCAATAAAAAACAATAGTCGTGGACCGAGATTGCAAGGTTTGAAAGTCGTGGATCAATCTTGATTGTGCCACTATAGTCGTGGGACCAAAAGTGCGAAAAACTCGCAGTTAGGCAAAGGTGATTTTTGGTTTCTTATGCTTATACCACAATGACAGAATCTTTGGAGGACGAAATATCTCCCCAAGGGCTTGTATTGGTTCCACGCGATGGAGATGATGGTAGCCTTGTTGTGGGGTCACATATCAGAGGCAGCCGATTACGAGCATCATCTGCTTCAGGTGATGAGGAAGTCGATCTACTCCTCCCGGGAACAGCGAGGTATTCTTAACCAATATGTTGTCTTATACTGTCTTATAGAAAAGAGAATACAAAGCCCTATAAATAGCTGCTAGAAGACTACGAATAGGAAACAAGTTTCCATATGCATACCTTCCTAAATCCCCAAGACTGCCTAATCTATAGAGATTCCATATATTAAATATAATCCATAACAGTTCTGAATGCTGCTGTTATTGTGTTTTAAAGCAGACTGCAGATCCAGCTAGGAGTAAATATGCCCGCAAGAGCAGAGTATATCCCCGGGAAAGACGAGAAACAGATGTTTCACGAAGTGTACGATGTTGTACTGTACCTGGGCATCATTGACATCTTACAAGAATACAACATAACTAAGAAGATAGAACACGCATACAAATCTATACAATTCGATTCCGTGTCCATCTCTGCTGTGGACCCTACGTTCTACTCTGAACGCTTCTTGGAGTTCATCCGGAAGGTGTTCCCCGCGAATGAAGTAACAAGTTAGAAGATTTTACACTTCTTGATTCGTCGTCTTGTCTTGTCTTTGTTGCTTTACAAAGTATCCCAACATCTCGAGGATTGTACGAAGAGCCTTGATGAAGAAAGAAAGAAACATTGGTGTACGGGGAGGTGTTGGCAGATGCATATGTGAATGTCTGATGTTGTATCTATCTATATAAATATATTGCAAGATTTTCCCTTCAAAAGTTTTCCCTTTTCTAGTGCACATGATATACTATATTATACGAGGTACTTCAAAACATGTGTTGAAAGTTGCAATGCAGCTTAATGAAGTTAACAAGATTGTTGTTCATTCATTTGAGACTTTCACTCATTTGGCTTTAAGCTCTGAGTCGAGAGGTACTAAGGCGATAGTTGGGGTTATCTACTTGCCATATCTATGCTTGTATACATTAGTTACAACTTTTAGATTCTCTTATTGTGTATAAATACCTTTTAGCTTCTTTTTTTTTTTAAGAAAAAAGAAGATCACACTTATACTCCACCCAATATAAAATCAGTTGGACAACCCCAGCAAGTTGGTCAAATTGTTGGCTTGATAAACATAAGGTTTCAAGTTCGACTCCCAATTGGGATCTTTCTCTTCGTTTGAGATAGTCAGTTACGGACAATCTAAATTAGTTTACCTCATTGTGGTTATTTGCCGATTAGGACCACAAGGCAGGGGTGCACACCCTCGGCGCGAACCGAACTACCTTAATCTACACTCTAAGGGGGCGTTTGGTTCACGAAATGTTAGATTCATGTGTTTGGTTTAAAACTAAGATATGTAAATAAGACAAAGTCCTTCCAATAGCTAAAAACTTAATGCGGAGATTATCCCTGAACCAAAGATGGGAATCTTATATTACCAAACAAATATAACCTGAACCAAACGCCCCCTAAAGTTTTACAACCCTACTTATTTGTGTTGATTCAAAATGCATTAACACCGTACCAATAATAATTATAATATCCTCATTGTAACAGTCATGGTGACAAAGGATGATGAGTTGCTTCCTTAGTTTTGTAGAGAAAGGGATACATAACATGCCAAAATAAGCCCTTTGTCCCATCAAACGGTCCATCACATGAAGCTGCCTCTATAGTTTGAAACATTTTGTTTTGGGGTTCTCTTTCTCTGTTATGATTTTGGACAAAAATGCCAACTTTTTGACATGCTTGTGTGGACCGACCGACTAGTTGTTATATTTTGGTAATGTAACAGAAGTTGGATTCAAAGGGGGTGCAGCCCCCAGTTGCTTGCCGCAAAAGGGAACCATTAGAGAGGGAATGAAACGGGGAAAACGGCTCGGCTACCTCAAGGGTGAAGACAACGCTATTCTTTTCTTCTCTCTCTGCAAACCCATATCAACTGTCAGATGTATAATTGTATACATATGCTTTTCTCTTCATAGCCATATCTATATATGTGTGCATTCTTGCACAGGGAGGCGAAAGAAGCAATAAGCTTTTCTTGCATCTGGCAAAAATTACTGTTTTGGGTTGTTTTAGCATCTGCCGAAGAAAGCTTTCTTGACAGAGAGAATGGGGTTGCCGGCCACCGGACAGAGCAGCAGCAACTATGATCTGTCGTTTAAGATATTGTTGATCGGAGATTCCAGTGTCGGGAAGAGTAGCCTGCTCGTCAGCTTCATTTCTAATGGCGTCGACGATCCTGCGCCCACCATTGGTACTATACGCTCATCACTACTTTCCTTAATCAATAATTCGACATCTTAGTGGACATAGGAATGAATATCCACAGGTGTTGATTTCAAGATCAAGATTCTCACAGTTGGTGGAAAGAAACTGAAACTCACAATATGGGACACAGGTAATCACAAACATCGTACCATCTAATACACCTTTCTCCAACCAGCTTAGTTGGCGTGAGTTGCCGTGCACTCTTGTCCCTTAAGAGAGGTCGAGGGTTCGAACCCCTTCTTGTATGGAAAAACCAATCTGGCTAGCACTTTGCCAGTTTGGATCGGCTCAGTGCAAACGGAGATTAGTCTGTATGGTACAACAAAAAATACAGGTCTCTCCACTCCTATATTCATTAGATCGAGCTCTCTCAGGTCATGTTGCTCTTGCTCTCTTCACAACGACACCGGTAGGTGCATGTTCTTGTGGTTGAATGAACAAATTGTAACTCTTGAATGTATAATCCATTGTGCAGCTGGACAGGAGAGGTTCAGGACATTGACAACCTCGTACTACAGAGGTGCTCAGGGGATCATTCTTGGTACGTCGAGGATGAATTAGAACAAAGAATGCCATGCTATCCTCTTACAACAATTATCCCCTCACACTTGATAGCTTTTCACAGTTTATGATGTGACAAGGAGAGAGACCTTCCTTAATCTGTCTGATATTTGGGCAAAAGAGATAGAGCTTTACTCCACTAATCAGGATTGTGTGAAAATACTCGTCGGGAACAAAGTTGACAAAGTAAGTTATATGAACAAATTCTTGAAGCTTTTATCTCTGTGCTTTCACCCAATCATCCTCTTCCTTTTATGACAGGAATCTGAAAGAGTTGTGAGCAGTGAAGAAGGTGCATCTCTGGCAAATGAACTTGGATGTCTATTTCTTGAATGCAGTGCTAAGACTAGAGAGAATGTGGAAAATTGCTTTGAAGAACTTGCATTAAAGGTGAGGAGAATGCACAAAATGCTATTATCCGTAAATGTTTACTACAATGCTTTTTTATGACAAATCTGTACATTTTCCAGATAATGGAAGTGCCTAGTCTTTTGGAACAAGGATCTAACATAGGGAAGAGGAATATCTTAAAGCAGAAAGAGGAACAGCAGACACAAACTGGGAGTGGCTGTTGCTCATAAAGATTCCTTAACAATTTGTGAATAAAGTAAATAATGATTTGGTTTTCTGTATTGCTGCTTTGTGCTAATCCAAGAATTTCCCACTAAAATGTTTCTATAAAACAAGGTGACATATGTGATGTAAATAAAGGACTCTCTACTTTCAGAATGAAGAACTACTCGCCGCAGAGTACACACACTACTTTTGTGACAATTGCAAATCACTACATAAAACATTCCATACCCCTATGACACAAATGGACTAAAAGTCAATCGCAACAAGATCAAAAGCCCAGTTCATGATTGAAAACTTAGCTATTCATTGCCATTGTAGCCTCTTCCAGGACTCTCTTTGCTTCAGTACCAGGGTCAGCAAGCTCACTAGGGATCTGTAATATTTCATTGTCAAAACTTTGCAAAGCTAAGCAACAAAATCCTCAGTTAGTGTTTCATTATGATCTAACCTTCCCATATATATTCGTCTTGGTAGGAGAAGCCCCCGCATCTAACAACAACCTAACAACATCTGCATGCTCGCCTCTAGCAGCATGATGTAGAGGCTACGGAGGAATACAAGGATGAAAGGCACAGATGTTAAGCTCAAGCAAGAACAAGTCGAAACACATAAAATGAGGCTTTATATTTACTATATGCCAATAATTTTACTTTTAAGAATATGAAAAAGGACTTACCGTATCACCTTCTATATCGACTGTCTCCAGCATGTTCTTCACACATTCAGGATCACTAGTGCTACTGATAAGAAGCTGAACTATCTGAGTAAATCCTGCAGAGGTTTGTACAAGAATTTACTAAGAAACATTGTGTATAGATTGTGTCTGAGACTCAAAGTGCAGAGAAACATTACAGCCTACCTCCTGCACACGCATCATGCAAGGGAATTGCACCCTCTTCATCCTTGGCCTCCAAAGAGGCTCCCTTTTCTAACAACAGCTGCATGTGGAGAAAAAATGAATCAAATAAGGCAATGGAAAAACATCAGCCAAAACTAGTCAATTCTTATTTCTTACAAGACCAACCTGAACACAAGACAGGTGGCCGTACAAACAGCTAAGATGAAGAGCAGTGTCTCCATCTTCAACTGGTTCATCGATGCTGCTTAAGTTATCTGCAGTTACAAGTGGAGCAGTAATTCCATGAACATGTTACAGTGACCAGATGCAAGTTGTAAAGAACTGCAATTCAACATGTGCATTATATGACACACATTCATACAATTTCACCTTTAAATCATGTAGTACAATCCTATGAATGAATTTTTTTTTGATAATTGAATGACTGAATGATTACATGTTGCTTTTAATTATATGGGTTACACATCAATTCAGCTAGACAATCAGCTCAGTACAAAGGTCATTTACATTTCAAGACTAAAAATCATATCGATCAACTCACTGCTGATACATTAATAATGCTAAAAAACTCTTTTAATTATTATTTCTGGTGCCTGTAATTTCCTACATGCATTTTTGTAATTCTGAACTTAACCAATAAGCCCATCTGTAGTTCCTGAATGCAAATTTTCTAGAGAATTCAAAATTTCAGGTAAAATATTCAAATATTCAAACCAATAATCATTTCCACTAAATTCTGTACTCCCAAATAAACTGAGAATTGCCGAATACTTACTATAGAGATAAAATTTGCTCTTTCATTTTCTTTTTTGAGTTAATGAGATGGAAAAGAGGGCAGGAATGAGTACCTAGGGCATGGCGAAGGGATTCTAGGTCGCCGCGCTCGGCGGCCATGGCAACTTGGCGGAGGTGAGGAGGCGTGTTGCTATCAACTTGCTCGAATTCGATTTCTCCATCGATGATGATACCGCCGTCTTCCTCGTCGTCTCCTATCATGCCGTTACGTCTCCCTGGTACTGCCATCTCCTCCCTCTCACTGTGCCACGCTCCAACTACGTCTCGTCGTCAACTGAAAAGCCCTGGGATCTGTGAAAACCTTAAAACCTCAAGAAACCCATAAATGGACGGAGATCGGGTCGTCCTTTTTGGGCCAAAACTACTGCGAAATTATCTGATTTCATAGAATAATAGCCCATCATACCTGCGCAGGCAAATTATGTTGTGCGTCATGGTGCATACGGATGCAAAAACGACGTCGTTTTGCATCAAAACGTATGTCTTATTTTTTAAAAAAAAATAATTAGTTTTAATTCCCAGCAACAACATTATGTTGTTCATTTTTTAGTTCATTTATTCTGAATTTTTAGTTATGAAATTATAGATGTGTAGGTATGCAATTCTGGATTTATAGTTATAAAATTATGGATGTGTAATTATACATGATGTAGTTATGCAATTCTGGATTTTATAGTTATGAAGTTATCGATGTATAGTTATGCAATTCTGGATGTGTAGTTATGCAATTTTGGATTTATAGTTATGAAATTATGGATGTGTAGTTATGTAATTCTGGATGTATAGTTATGAAATTATGGATGTGTAGTTATGCAATTCTGAATTTTTTTTTTTAAGTTAGACGTCAAAACGACGTTATTTTTGCATCTGTATGCGCCATGCACGGTGCATACGGATGCACAACATAACGATTGACCTGCGCAGCAGCAATTATAATGTGGATCCCAGTTTATAAAGCTTTGTGGATCATGGTCCAAAGCGGCATACACTATAGTGTATCTAAATTGACATTGTCTTACATATTATTTTTATTATATTATCAAATAAAATTGTAATTGAATTGAAATGAAACTGTAGTTGTATTGAAATAAAACTGAATAACAATTTCACATATTTGAGTATATATTGTCCAGCGAAACTGTAATTATGTCAAAATGATATTGTAGTTGTGTTGAAAAAAAGCTACAGTGCATATTTGATGCTTGGACCATAATGCATTGTGGACCGCGGTCCACAGTATAATTTGCCACCTGCGCACAAGCCCAATCCCCAGTTCAAGGCAATTCATATCATGGACCATGGTCCACATAGCTTTGTGGACCCTAGATCAAAACAACGAAAAGTACATAATTTCACAACACGCCACAAAAATTATAACACAACACGCATACACATGATATATATTTACTTATTTTTCAAATCTGATTTAGATACAAAACTTGTGTTTATAGACACAAAATTTCATAACACAAGACACAAAAATAATAACATAAGACAACTAATTTATTTCAGGTATAAAAATCATCCTCTTGAGATACAGAATTTTATAACACAAAATACAAAAAATTCACAACATAAAACACATACACATGCATCGGGTCCACGATACTCTGTAAACCCTAATCCATCATATAAGGATTGCAAATTGACATTTACATGATTCATTCGTCCAATTAGTGCACCACTAAGCAATAAGCCAATAACCCAATAGTTATATCATTGAGCAGGTACATATATAGCAATATCATGATGCATCTCTGGCATATAGATTTTTTTAAAAAAATAATAATAATAAGTTTACAAGTATATAAATCATCACATTTTTATTGGTTCATAAAGTAACAATTGTAATTACATAACATTGCTATAAATTCATAAAATCACTATTGCAAATTTATCACAAATTATTAAAATAATATATAATCTATAAATATAAGTGTTATTTAAAATATCTCAATAATATTTTTAAACAAGATTATATATATATATATATATATATATATATATATATATATATATATATATATATATATATATAGAGAGAGAGAGAGAGAGAGAGAGAGAGATCAGGTGCGGTAATAGGTTGCAGGTGGAAGATGAGGTTTAATCTCAATCATTGATTTAGTCAAAATCAACAACTCAGATCAAAGAAAACTTAAAAAATAAAACGCAAGTGGCATTATGATAATTTTGCATAAGTTTAAAACTTAAGATGCGTAGTTTTATAGCTTAAGGTGTGTATGTTTAATGCTTAAGGTGCGTCACTTTCTAGTTTAAGGTGCATTTGTTTAAAACTTAATTAGGTGCTTAAGTTTTAAGGTTAAGGTGCGTAGTTTTATAGCTTAAAGTGCGTAGTTTTATAGCTTAAAGTGCGTATGTTTAAAGCTTAAGGTGCGTCACTTTTCTAGTTTAAGGTGCATCAGTTTAAAACTTAAGGTGCATTGCTTTATAGCTTAAGGCCGGTGCGTATGTTTATAACTTAAGGTGCATCACTTTTCTAGTTTAAAGGTGCGTTGTTTTATAACTTAAGGTGCATTAGTTTGAGACAATTGATCATTTGCATGCATGTTGGCAGGAAGCGCGTCAGACCTCACCCCATCTTTCACATGGGAGACTCTTCGCACCTGAACTGATCCCTGTGTACGCGTGCGTGTGTGTGTGTGTGTGTCTGTGTGTGTGTGTGCGCGCGCGCGCGTGGGCGCGTGTGTGTGTGTGTGTGAATTATAATAAATTGGGGATTGAATACATGACTTCCCATTTAGGAGAACCACTTCATGCCACTAGACCAAAAGGTCATTGGTATTAACTCTACTTTTATGCTTCAATAGGTTGAGAAAGTAGCTATGAACATATACTACACTGTAACAGAGTTAGTTGTAAAAAAAACGATAATTCATTTTAGTTTATTACTTTTAATTTATTATTATTATAATAATAATAATAATAATAATAATAATAATAATAATAATAATAATAATAATAATAATAATAATAATAAGATTATTATGCATTAAGAAATTTACAATTAATAATATGGCAAGGTCATTGACTTCAATAGGTTGAGAAAGTAGCTATGAACATATACTACACTGTAACAGAGTTAGTTGTACAAAAAAATGATAATTCATTTTAGTTTATTACTTTTAATTTATTATTTATAATAATAATAATAATAATAATAATAATAATAATAATAATAATAATAATAATAATAATAATAATAATGTTATAGTTCTTTATATTAGCTATTTTATTTAAATTTTCATATAAATTAAATACAAAAAAAAAATGTTGTAAATTAGATCGTCCTTAACTCAATTATCCGGGATAATATTAGTGCAATTGTAAATTTTTTGTTTTAAATTGAGTGAATTCTGATTATGTATTTATGCGTTGTTGGTG